TAGAAGGTTGGTTCAGCTTTTAGCCTCATGGAAGGCTTTTGTTGCAGAATTTGTTGTTTTGGCTTTCTGAGTTGTTGGGTTTTTTCCCAAGTCAGTCAGAAATGCAGAAAACATCTTAATCTAAAAGATTTATGAATACATCTGCCTATCACAAGGTCAAGGGCAGTAGCTCTTGACATGCAGAGTTTTTTAAAAAGTATGTCTGTGATTAAGTTAGGATTGTAGTTTTGGATTGTCCAAGAAAGCCTTGCAATAATTAAAGTATTTGTTTTAAAAACCAAACAAACCACAAATAACCATACAAGTTTTTCAGATTAGTCAAGTTGTGCTTGGAAGTTATTTCTGGTAACAGGGATTGTGAATCAGGACTCATAAATTCTAATTGGCCATTTGTCTTTATTGTGTCATTTTCAGAATTGGGCACTACTTCTATTCATTTTATAACTAGGTCTGAGCCAGGTTTGAAGTTCTGTGCCTCACTAAAACATGCTTGTGAAGATACCAAGATTACTGAATGTAGAGGTTCACTTAAAACTATGACTGGTGCTTGGAATGGCTGCTTACATTATCTGTTAAGGAATTTTTTTGACAGGAAGAGAAAATGTATTTTTGTGGGGTTTTTTGCTGTTATTGTTGTTGGTTTTTTTCCTCACAATTAACAAAATATTAGCTGGGTTATCTATCTGAATCTTACGTGTCAGTACATCAGGCTTTTATTTGTTGTTTTACTTTGGGGTTCGTGCCTCCTGTGTGTATTGTTGGTAACAAGTACTTTTATCTCTAGAAAAATCTGACCTCCTAGTGCCATCATCACATATTTTAAACCATCCCAAATAGTAGTTAAGGTACTGATTGGGGTCATCTGATATTTAAAGTCATGCAAAATGAATTGGTTAGTGTTGAACTTTCAATTATATATTTAATTTTAAAATGCAACCAATTATATAATGTAAACCTGTGTTGAATATTTTTTACTTGGTTCCTTGGGTCATAGATCTGGGAGAGATGAATTATTATTTCTATGTTACATGTGTTCTTAATTTAAACAACATATTTATATTGTTTCTCTAAGGAAATAGTAAAATATTATACTGAACATAGAAATACTGAAGACAAATGGAAGAAGCCAGCACTGCTGGAGAGACTGAAGGTATGGAATAACAAATATTTTTAGCACTCTAGCAGTAAAAGATCGCAGACATAGAGCACAAGAGTGATTTGTGTATGCTGCTGGAGAAGTTACATGGAAAGAAACAATGTGAGGAACAGTGAAAAGAAAGAAAGAGGGGAGTATGGAAAAAGTGAAAAAACAAAGAAGAAAAACAAAATCAGGTCTGAGAGGGGTATATCTGAACTTTAAGTCACAGACTGAACCTACAGTTTCAGAATAGCTATTGAAAAAGGCATCAGATATATCAGACAGCAGGGTAGGCAGGAGTGAAGAAAATGTGTTCCAAGCCAGAATTTAATTTTTTTTTTTTAAGACTTATTGCTGATATTTTTTCTGTTGATTCTTGTGATAGGAATTGGCCAAAGCAGAAGGTCTGTGGAACCTTTTCCTCCCAGATGTCAGTGGTCTCAGCCAGCTTGACTATGCCCTAATAGCTGAGGAGACAGGGAGATGCCTTTTTGCACCTGAGGTTTTCAACTGTCACGCACCAGGTTAGCAACCCTGTCCCAAAACTACAGCACTGGGTTCATTAAAAAGTTGAGCATCTTCTTACAGGCTGTGTTTCTTGAGCAGTAAGCATGACTGCTGATTTCTTACAGACACAGGAAACATGGAGGTCCTCCACATGTATGGCACTGAAGAGCAAAAGAAAGAGTGGCTGGAGCCTCTTCTAGAAGGGAAAATTAGTTCCTGCTTCTGCATGACAGGTAAATTTTTCTCCAGAAGAAAGTTAGAGCCAATTGGTTGAAATGTCACATGGTGTATGCATGGAAAAGTAGAAGACTGCAAGTTGTGTGTTACAGTGGACATTTCTGTACTAATTCAGTACCAGTGAATGTCTTTGAATATAAAATAATCTATGAGGTGTGAATACAATCTGGGGCAGCCTTACTGCCTTTCCTGATAGTTATCAACTTTCATGGTTACAATAATTAGTATTGGCTTTCTATATGTTTTTAATTTAATTTTTACTAGTAAAATACAATTTATGGTACCAAACAGGTTTACAATAGAGCTTACCCTTCCTTTTAGTGTTCTGTGGAGTTCTCTAGACATGCATAATTGGGTCCAAGTATGATTATTGTGATTAAAGTATGTGATTTTGCAGTGTCATAGGTTTTTTTAAGATATAACCTGAAAGCTCCTGAAAAAGCTTATGGCATTCAGCATCTCTGGAAAGTCTGGCTCTTGCTTTATGAAGTTAGCTTTTGGAACGAACACATGATGTCAAAATCTTCATCTCCTGTGTCAGATGGAGTCCAGAGAACTCAGCCTTGCAGACACTTTGCAAATTCTGTTTCACTGTGTTTCCCAAGAGGAAATAGGTACTTTTGTTTTAAAGTAGATGGCCTATAAAAAGAGGTAATGGTGAAAGGAGAGAGGAAGAATCTTTCCTGTTCCAAAAAATCACTGATGACATTTTGCTGACAACTTCATGTAGTCTATTTTATATACAACCACAAAATTATTTTCAGTCTCTTTTGGCTTGAGAAGAACCCAGGATGAGAAAACAGGCTGAGGAGAAATACAACTGTTACCTGTAAGTACAGTGGAAGGATAAAGGATTTAGAAACACAAGGAAAGGAAGAAGGCTGATTGCAAAGGGTGGTCCAAGCCCAAGAACAAGTAAATTTAAACTGGCTATGAATAACAGATTGTTGGAAAACAGGAAGTCTTTTGACCACCAGCAGCAAGGTTCTTCAAAGAGTTTTTCTAGCAAAACTGTGTACTTTTAAGAGTATATCTAGAGCCCTATATTTGTGGAGATTGTATTACTTTTATATTTAATCTGGTGGGGTTTTTTTTCCTTTAACACAGAACCTGATGTGGCTTCAAGTGATGCCACCAATATGCAATGCACCATTGAGCGAGATGGGAACAGCTACGTGATCAATGGCAAGAAGTGGTGGAGCAGTGGTAAGTGTGGAAGCCTAAATAAGAGTGGCTGGGGATAGAATTTTTCCAAGAATGATTAAAAGAAAAGTATTTGTGCTCCATTTTTGAGATGAAATGGAATTTCTGTCTTCTCTTGAGTAAAAGCAATAGAATGTAAAACAGCACAAGGAGCTGAATTCAGCTTTTGGTTCTATGAATCAAAGTCCAAGATTCAAATCCAATTTGGGGATTTGGGCCCTTTTTGGAACCTCTGAATTTTGTTCACAGAGAGAATGCTGTTATTTTCTTTAAACATTTCCTCTTTCTGTCAGTTAACTTACACATTTATAGCTTAGTTTTCATGAAGCTGTCTTTGGCAGCTTGTGTGAGAGGTTTGAGAGTACCTTCTACCTACAGTAAAATGTGGCTGCTTTTAAAGTAGCCTGTGATGCTGTTAGACTACTACAGGAGATGTTTTTTATTATATAATTCCCAGTAAAGTCAGTGCATTGTACTGTAAGTGGCAACTGTCCCTAATATTGTAGTACTGTTACTTTTTTTGCCAAAATGTGTGACAGAAACTTGAAAGTCATCATTCCCTGAGAGTTTGGAATCCAAGTAAGTAAACTGAGTTGTTAAACTTGAAAGTTTCATTTACATACATGATTGTGACAGCTGCCTGCTGATACATGCTTGTGCAATACCTGGAGTCACCAGAAGATAGATCTCTCTCTCTGTTCTGCTCCTGTAAAACTGGCAGTAAAAAAAGGCATGGAATCTTGTCTCCTGACCCAAGAGTGTTGCTTAACTACTTGTGCTTGCTCTGGGTCAGTGTCTCCCAGCTATGCATTGCAGTCCCTGAGGAAGTAATGAGAAGGTTTTAGAGGGTCACACACACAAAATAATATAATAAATAAATAATAAATAATAAACTTAGTTATGTTAATTATAAAAAGGAGAGTAGACATGAGACAGCATGATTTGGTTTGTCTTATTTCTGATACAGTTAGGGCAATCAGATTTGCATAAAGACAGATGCACAAAAGGCACTGCAATTCCAAGAAGTTTGAGAAACATGTTTATTTGGCTCTGTGTTAGTCTCTCTTTCTGCCTGGCTAGGAAGGTGTTTTTTTGTTTGTTTGTTTTGGTTGGGATTTTTTAACTTTTGGGACATTAAAACCTTGGATGTGTGGGAATTCCAGAAGCCTGACAGCCTGATCAGAATGTCACTCTGTATTTGTGAAGACAAATCGTAAATCACACATGCAAGGAGTCAGTTACTTCATGTAAGAAGTGGGATTTCTTACTGTGCTCTGCACGTGTACAGTAAATCCAGTGTGGCTTAAATATGTCAGATTTATGGTGTTTGTGTAGAAAACCAGTCAAGCACTTCTGACTTATCTGTTCATGCCCTAGTATTTCGCAAAACACTGGGCAGACATTCTGTAAGCTTTTGTCATCCAAACAGGGAGAAGAGGCTCATGTTTGTTTATGCTACTGTTGTTTCTTGTCTTACCATTTTAGAACTTTTTGTTCCAGTCCATAATTGTGTAACTAGGAACAGTATCTAAAAATGAGAAATTCTTGTTGGCTTTCATAATCTATAGATGAGACATTTTATCAGAGCCCCCAGGATGTTTGAAGACAAGGACAATAAGTGCTGTAACACCACTTCTTCATTTTGAAGGTTAAGCTAGTATGTCAGTACGTTTGAAATGCTTCCAGTGTCTCATGGAAAAGTGCTGTTTTCCTGGAATCCCTGCCAACACTGTGGTAGGGGACGGCTTTGATACCTCTCTGTGTAAAAACTGTAAATCCATGAGCTCCATATGGAATGGGAACCTCTCTCTTTTGTCAAGCAAGGCCTCTCCCATTTACTGGTTGGTCTACAATGAGAAATGTCAGCACTTACTAAAGCAAAACAAAAATAAAGATAAGGAAAAACAAAAGCCGGTACACTTCTCCCATTCTTTGATTTTATTGTATCTCTGTATATATTTTAGCAAATACAGTTTTTGCAGTGCTTGATTAATTTTAAAAATTCTGAATAGAAAATCCAGGCCTTGTATCTGAAGATTACCTGAACTTTTTATTACATTTACAAAAATCTAGACTGGGCCACCCTTAGAGTACTGGTCTTATTGAAGTTTAGGGTGAGCAGGAAAGAAGAGATGAAAGGTCATTTTTTTCTGTAGTTATAGAAAAGGAATTGCTGGGGTGTTTTTGTGAAGGATGTTGTTGCTGCTATACATTTGTAGAAACACATAGAAAATGGCTTTTCCCACCTCTTTCTTCCTCTCAGTTCTCAGCCATAAGCTTATACTTCATTTCAGTCTGCAAGGATATCTATTGAATGATAGTTGAGTTGAGAAATGGAACTGAACTATTAGGCAAATGTTCTAAAGTTTTACAAAATAGTTGGAGAAACACACAATTATTAACTTCTGGTACAAAGGTTCCTGTTGTTTGATTGCTGATGGTTTGGGTTTTTTTTCTCTGTTTTAATTACATACTTAGATATGTACAGGTTGTTCATTACGCAGTTTCTTAATTGTCTAGTACTGTGACACTTTGAATTTTAAATCTTGGGGGTGCTTTTAGGTTTTGTTGTGGTGGGTTTTTTGGTTTGAGTTGCTTGATGTTGTTTAGTAAATATCTTGGCTTGTTTCTAGTTTCAGTATTCAGTTCTTGCTTGATTCCGATAAACACATTCTACTTTGAAGTGCTCTGTAGTGTCTTGGCAGGTTCAGAAATTAATCTGAAAGTTGACTTGCAGAGAAACAGCTGCAGAAACAATACCCCCTGGAATTAGTAAACAATTCCCTTGGTTCTGTAAGATGATGGAAGCAAGGGATGGCCTATATAGTGAAACTGATTGTTTCTTCAGTAGGTTCTTCATGATTCATAGAAATTTCTTCAGGTCTTCCATCCTGCTGTTGTCTTCTCCAGTACCCATAATTTTTTGCAATTTTCATGACGTGCATTTTGAAAGAGGCGCCCAGAAAGGCGTAGAGGAGGGGGTTGAGGCAGGTGTGGAACAAAGCGATGCTCTTGGTGACCTGGAGCGCCACGTCCATGGTTTTACTGGTGCCACAGTCCGTAACCAACATGTAGATGCTGTCAATGGCTCGCCACAGCTTCACGACGTTGTAGGGTAGCTGGGTGACAATGAAAGTAGCCACTACTGCCAGCAGAACCATGAAAGGCCTGGACTTCTTCACATTTGCAGACCTGAAGATCGCCCGAGCAGTAGCGGAATAGCAGATCAGCATTACTAGGAAAGGAAGCAGAAATTCCAGGATAATTTCCAGGATTTGAATGGTTGATTTTAAGAGTGTTTCCATGTTCATTGGAAATACGGGAAGGCATTCATTCCTCTCATTGTGTTTCTTGACTTGGTTAAATATCAGCTCAGGGATACTGAGGAAGATGGCAGCCAGCCAGACACAGATGCAGGTAACACCGCAGTGTTTGCCAACTCTTCCACGGCCCTGGGATTCAGAAGTGGCCCTGTATCTATCCACACTGATACAGGCCAGGAACAGCATACTGGAGCTGAAATTCATGGTGTACAGAGAAGAAGTGAGCTTGCACATCGGGTTTCCAAGTTCCCATCCCTGCACTGCATTTGCAGCCCAAAAAGGGAGGGTGAAGAGCAGGAGCAGATCAGCGATGGCGAGGTGCATGATGTACACATCCGTCTTGGTCTTGGGTTTCTTGCAGTAGGCATAAATTGCAACCACTAATGAGTTTCCAGCCACTCCAACTGTGAAAGCCAGTGTGTAGAAAACTGGGAGGAATAATTTTCTGAAATTTCTCACATCATTTTTTTCGCAGAGAAGCTCATAGGTATTGTTTAAGTTCTAAAATTTCTGTTGAAACCTAAAACCCTTCTTCAGGGCTGCTTACACATCTCAAATTTAAAGAAGTTGGATATTCAGAATACATTTGTGAATAATCAAAGTGAAGCTAGACAGTAACAGGGGCAGAGCAGACCATCTCAAGTTCTCATGTGAGGTAGGGTAACTGACATCATCTGTGTGGGCAATACATGCAAAATGGTTTCAGTTTAAACCATTAAGGGTTTCCTTACCCTTAGCATTTGAGATTATAAAATGCTTGGAGTGCCTCTCACTGATTTCCACATTTGAGTCAAAGAGCCATCATTGCTTTAACTGCTCCAACTGTGTTATGCTTGACAATATTCCATTGCACATAACTGTGTCTGTACCTTTTTAGGGCTGGAATTGAACCCTCCTCTCTCCAGCCTCGGCAATGCAAAGGAATACAGCTGAAGGCTGTAAATGCTGTTACAATCACGTGTATAAGGAATATGAGCAGATTACAGCTGAGGCAAGCAGTTGCCTGCTGTTAAAAATGTTCAGTGCCTGCTGTCATAAATTCTGACAAATTTTGGATATGAGTATAGTACAAGGAGAGTGTTTTTGTTTGTTTCTCAGGCACACTGTACATGCCCATTACAAAAAGTACAACAGGGGAGTCACTTGCTGAACAACAGCAGAACAAACTTAATTTACTCTCCATCCGACAAAGTGAGCCATGCCCATGTGGCATTTCTTACAGAAGCAGATTGCTGTGGGTACACTGCATCTTCCAGCTGGAGTTTCTCAGGATGTTATGACAGGAAGGAATTTTATCACATGTAAACTGCCCACAAATACCCAAACAGCTCAGAAACTCTGCTGGTTTTTCAAGTACGATCTTACAACAGATTTACTCTGTAAATGAGTACTGGCTGGCTTCTCACTGCCACCTTAGGGTTAAAGTTTAATAATTCATATCTCCAGGTTGTGTCTTAAGCAAGTTCATGTCCTGCATTATTTTCTTCTTTTCCTGTAACCGTGTTCATTGACTAATGTGCTGAAATTCTGTCTGTTGTAAAATACAGTCCTGCAGTACCCTGTTTTCTCAAAATAAATGGTACTAAGATTTCTTAGCAGCAGTAGCAAAAATCAGCTGAGAATAAAAAATAAATCCCCTTTTTGTCATCATATGCACTGTTCAGAATTTGAGGTCAATGTTGCTGAAAGCAGATTGTTATCTGATATTCTGCCCCAGAGCTACAATTTGGCTTTTTCAAGCTGGAAAGAAAAATGCAAATACCATTTCTGTTTCTTAGACAGTTGTTTAAATGTAGGGCTGCCAAGTGTCTCTTAAAGTTTTTTGAATATATCTATCTACTAGGAAAGAGAAGTTACTGACTGATCTCATAATAAGGGATGAAAGCCAATTAAATAGAAAGAAATTAATATTTTTTATTTTTTATTTTTTTTAATGATTCTCCTAGCCAATTTTTTTTTAAAGTGTATTAGTTTGAAATTAACTATCTGGTTTAGCTCTATCTTTAATGACTTTGTTGTACTATTCTGTTAACATTTCAAAACTCTCCCCATCAAACTTTAAAAAGAACGATTAGTCCTATTTTAAGTCTTGCAATTTGTTCTTTATTGTTGCCTTAATGAGATGTGCAGAATGGAAAAGTACAGTCACTCTACTTAATACTTTGGCAAAGGGATGTCTGTTCTATGCCTAACAAACTGTGTTAGTAAGATTCTCCAGCAGCAGTAATCTTTTGCAGCTTTATAGTACTTTGAAGAGAGATTTAGTTGTCAGCAGCAAAAGAGCCTTTTTTTATTAATTTTTTTAGTAGAAAAGAAGCTGCAGCAAGAAGAGTTTAATCCACTTAGCTGAGAGGAGAGGAAAATTAGAAGTTAATTGAGAGGATTTGGTGGTGGTCTTAAAACACACAATACAGAACCCATCAAGGAGCATTTAATCAAATTGGATCACTGGCAAATTTATTTTAAAGCAAACCAGTAAACATTTCAGGGCAAACTTTAAAGGTCTGTGTATGACAAACCAGTTTGGCTGTGACTCTGTGCTCCGCTGCCTGATAAGCGTTTGCTTGCCCTGAGTTTGTGACAGAAACAAAGTTATCTAAAATGCAACAGTTGACATTTCTCCCTTAAAAGCACAGTTATGTTTTGGCTCCCATGGCTGTTCACGTTTGTCTTTCCTGGTAATGCTGTTTCTCAGGCACACGTGCATGTGCCCATTGCAAACAGCCAAGCAGTCCCGTGGGAGTCGGGCACAGAAGAGTGGTGGAAAAGCTTAGTTTAGTCTCCATCCCACACAGCGAGTCGTGCCCATGTGGCATTTCTTACAGAAGCAGATTGCTGTGGGTACACTGCATCTTCCAGCTGGAGTTTCTCAGGATGTTATGACAGAAAAGAATTTTATCATAAACAAACTGCCCACAAGTACCCAAACAGCTCAGAAGCTGCTGGTTTTTCAAACAGTGTTTTCTAGGAGGTATACTAATACATATATTAAAGCTGCAACTGCATGTTTTCTTGCAGAATTATTTCAGCTTTCCAGTCAGATAGAAATTCAGTGTGCTTTAACTTGATGTGGAATTTTCTGAATTATGGTGAATTAAATTAATATGCCTAGTTTAGACAGACAAATTTTTTTCCCCTGATAAATTAAGCAGTATTCGGTCCTGCTACTGAACAAATCTAATTTTGATACTGGAAAGGAGATGTGACTAAAGGTATGCAAAGAAGATATCATACAATATACATACACAGCAGTAAGGATTAAAACAAAACTAACCTTCTTTTGTCAGCAGACGAGTAGCAGGTACTGCAATTGAAATGTGCCTCGGTGAAGTGATCTGAATTGCTCTGACACATTGCATTTTGTCTTCAAACACCACACCCTCATGTGGAAGTCTGTTGCACTTTCATTTTGACTTGACAGTTTAAAAAAAACCTTTTAAAAATTGTGCTTTCCTGGAGACTCCTCTTGTGTTCAATGTGTACATTTCCTACATTCCTCCCTGTTCCCACCAGACTGTGACTGTTCTTTGGAAGGTCAGGACACTTACTGCTTCTCTTTGTTGTTTGTGGTTTTATTCCTGGAAGTCCAAATGTTTTATACATCACCAAGAGGCTTTTATCAAACAACACATTATAAAGGTGAAAAGAATAGAAAGAAGGTCCATCTGGGGCTGATTTACTGCTCCAGATACCACAGGGAGTCACTCTATTTTTTCCTGAGGGCACTACTGTGTTTTTGATGGCTGACTGTATAAGGTTTTAAGGGATACTTACATCCTCTCCTTATATAACTCTTTTAGGGGATACAATAGAAAGATGAGTTACTTTTTGTGAGGTGGGGAAAGGGGTTCTTTCAGTGTGTGAAACCAGAAAGATGGTAAAGAAAGTATGTGAATGCAAGTGGCAAATTGTCAACCAGAGTACAAGCAGATAGTCCTGCATCCTAGGGGAGAGTTCTCAGGAGCTTGAATGTTGCCAGTCAATCTCAAAATCAAATTCGTGACCCGTTTGAACTATCATGGATTAGATAGCAATCTAATGAGCTTCAGTAAATGCAATATTGAAGCCCAACAACAGAGAGATGGAGCAGACCAGAGGTCAGATTTTGGGGTTTTTTGGCATTCTGGTGCACCTGCCACAACTGGATTTACCTTCTATCTGTGCATCAATTATTTTGAAGTATGTGGAAGGAAAGATTCTTAAAAATGGGCAGCTAAGAATGTAATGGGAAGATGATTTCTACATGCTATATTCTGTTTCAGAATGACAAAATAAAATGGGCTGGGAGAGGAATTGCAGTCTAGAGGAAGAGTGCCACAATATTTGTGCATATTTCTGTATTGCTTTCATCTTCAGTTATCACAGTACTTCATGGTGCTCCTCTCAGTGGCAGATAAGATGCTCGGGCTCCTTCCCAGCCATCTCCTCACAGGTCATGTCATGGATTTGAGGCCTCAGCCACATCACTTTAAAACAAGTGAAACTTTCAGTTCTGAATAGGCTTTGTCTCAATGGGGTCTACAACCAGATGGAATAATCAGACTAGAGCTGGGAATTCTCCCAGGGAATTGTGTGTTGCTCACAGAAGTGCCCAAGGGGTTCTGTGGGCAGGCTGTTCATGCAAATCCTTCCTTGCTTACTGCAGTTACTCAGCTCCTCATAACTTTCCAGAGGTGCAGGGAAAGGACTGATCCTTCCAGTCAGGGTAAAGAAATAATATTGCTATGTATGTATTTCAGTAGGGTCAAAAGTAACAAAAATTATTTAGTAAGTAAGAATGAATAAGAAACAGATCCTAAAGTAAAAAAAACCTTGTGGCTGTGTAAAAGTGGCATGAGGGCAAGGAAAAAAAAGGCTGAGCAGCTGGTCTCACTGGCACTATCAGAGCCCATAAGCTCCAGCTGGGAATGACCAGCAGCCACATTCAGTGACAAGACTGCAAAATGTTGCAGCTGCATGGCCCCAGCATTGCCTTTTTGCTTGCAGCTACAGTGTAGTCTTTGTCCTCCATGAACCAACTGCCTGCAGTGTTGTCTGGAGAAGATGAGATAAAACTATGGAATACAATATGCTTATGGATTAAATTACAGTGGGCTCTTGGTGGGGTGTGCCTGTGTGTGTCTCTTTTCTCCATTCGGAGGCTCCCACATTCCAACAATCAGTACCACACTGCCATCCACCCTACTAAGACCAGTTTCTTCTTGTAGAAGAGTCCAGAATGTTGTGTTTGTCAGTGCCAGGAAGCTGTCAGATCTGTAAGACACCACAGACCCTTGACCTTTAACAGAGAAAGTAACCTGCTGGGCTGAGGGGTGCAGCAGCCAATGTGGCAAAAATCATAGGTATTCAGCATTCAGGCAGTAGTTTATCTGGCTTCAGTCATCTTAGACTGAAGACTGAAAAATAAATAGATTGCAGGAGTTTAAAGTGCTGCTTGTTCTGAAAGCAGACTTTGTGGCAGCTTCTTCAAGAACAGATGGTCCTCAGAGGTTGCCACATTTAGTAGTCTCTTCACCAGAAAGAACCTGTATAAGTTGATTGTGTGAAGATCAGTAAACTTAAGCGTGTTATACCCCTGATAGCAAAGATTAGGCTTCTAATAAGATTGTGCTCAGCGCTCTAAGCACATTTTAAAATACTATCTTTGCCTATGCAAGTGAGTATCATGAAGAGTTCAAAAGTATAAGTTAGTTAAATCAAAGATGTTTGCTGGTTTAGGAGCACTGTGGTCTAAAAGCTTTGGACAGGTTGTGTGGTCATATACATTGAAAACTTTATTGAAAGCTCATCAGTATGAAAATATAATTAAAAATTACCTTCTAAAATGTGTAGTGTTTCTTCAATTGTGAGTTTCTCACAAAACTACTTCTAACTCCTACCAAAATAACTGGCTTCTCTGACTCTACCCCTCCATCCTCCAGCAACATCTTTGAATTCTGTAAGTGATGTGAAAATGTCACTTAAATGAGTTGTTTATTCCATCCAGGATGTTTGCAATCCATCCAAAGCACTGGAGTTTTTCAGAGTCTTGCATTAGACCAGAACTTGTTTCCTGTCTTTTATAGGTCAAAGTGACATAAAATTTGTTTAAGTTTTTCAGGACTTCAGACTCTAAGGAGTGGAAGGGCCAGGAATCTGTCGTCCTTTGCTGGGCTTAGATAAGAACAAGCACATATGAGCTGGAGGTATCATTTGCCTTCCAGAAATGTGTACAAATGATTTAGAACATCTAACCAGATGTGCAGCTCTCAGTGAACTCCTCACTGAGTTCAACATGAAAGCTTCTCCTGAGTTTTGGGTGGTTTTTTTCATACAACATGGTTAAATTTGCCCTTTGTTTTGAAGCAGGGATGTGACTTGAGGATTATTTACAAAACAGTTTTTCAGAAGATTTCAGGAGGTCAAAATATCTTTTATTGTAAACCTCACTTGAAAATGGGTCTGGTCTAGAAAATAGCACTTGTGCAATTCTTTATTTTCCATGGAAAAGGAGAAGAATCAAAATACCCCTTATGCAGGAGTGATATTTCCCTGTGCAGGGTCATACCCCACAAAGCATGTGTTGGGTCATTTGGGGTTGATCACCTGCTTATTGCAGTTGCCCAAATGAGCCAAGTGTCCAAATGAGCCAGTTTTTGTTGTTTGGGGTTTTTTTCCAAGTTGATTTTATGCCCCTGCCTAAAGCTTTTCACTGGGATTTTTAGCTTGTCAGCATTGTGCAGCTCGTGGGCCACTCTGTAAGCCCCCTCTGGAAACAATGGCTGGATACCATGATGCAAAAGAGGAAAGCAAACAGCTGGCAGTCTGGCCCTCCAAACAGGCAGTGTTCGTCACAACTAAATAAATCTCTCTTCCACTTCCTGGCCATCACAGTGGCTGTTTGTAGGAGGAAGTGGCTCAGCTCAAAGCCAGGTGGTTGTATTGTCCAGATCAGTCTCCCAAACCTTGTGAGAACAGCTGGCAGAGAAGTTATAAAGTTGTATTTGCTTCTAACCTCAGAACAAAACCAAACTGTTACACATCAAGCCTTGAATTGAATCTCTACAAAGCTTGTCATCTGCACTGAGATAGCAGTAAAAAATTACTGATTGCTACACCCATTGGGTACTTTCCCTAACTTGTTTGTGGGAGGCTTTGAAAGGAATGAGCATGCTTTGGTACTAAGAAACTTTTAAAGAAAATGACAGGGAGGATTAAGGGTCATAGAAATGTTATTTGAATCAATGGTAGAATCTTCTTCAGGACTAGTACATTAAAGTGCTCTCTTTATGCTACAAAGGCTTAATAAATATGTCCACATAAGAAACATCTCAAATGATGTTATCAATGTCTTGAAATGCTAGCGTGCTATTTTCAGGTAATAATTTTCACTCAGATCTTTCTTCAAAGTGCAATCTAAAATAATTTGTGTATAAAGGGGGAAGAAATCCTACATTCCAGAGAAGTTATGCTGAAGTAGTAGCAAAATTATTGTGGTAACCCTTTGACAGCCTTATCTGCATAATTTGGTTATAATGTGGTTGGTGTTTCATTCCCACATAGACCCTCCAGTCTTTATAGGTTGAAAAAGTTTCTTTAAGTTTTACTTTCGAAATGGCAGCATCTCACCTTGATAGATGTGCTGTTTTATCACACTTATTTGCTCAGCTGTAATGGAGACAGAAGTAATTAGATTCCATTTCAAGTACCTTCTTGTTCCCTTTTCACAGGAATAGGGGATGGTGATGGAGCCAGAGGGTTTGGATATTTGGCTTTTCACGTTCCTCTTCCCACAAGTCAGCTCCCTTTTACATGTTAAGTACTAATGTGTATTTTGTTTCAGTGTGATACTCAGAATGTAAACACAGGGGTAGATTGCATCTCCTTTTCTTGTAAAGAAACTTCGTTTGATTTGAGGTTTTATACTAAAAACCAATTTTGTGTTTCCCACTTTTTTTAAGGTGCTGGGAACCCAAATTGCAAAGTTGCAATTGTAATGGGCAAAACCAAAAACTCATCAGCATCCAGGTAAGAATTCCTAGGAGACTCAGAATTCCCTAAAACTTGTTCCCTGGAGGAGTCACTGCTTGTGAAAATTTTCTTAAATGAAATGCCATTAATCGACTTGACCAGTTGGATGTTCTCCTAAATTAGAGAGATGTTTGTAACCTCAGCACCTGTCTGTTGTAGCCTGAGTTCCTGTTTTGCTGTCAGATGCTGTTGACTGAGTCCTCCCAACCTTTCCACTTTAACTGGCACACTTCCCACTTCTCTCCATTGCACCAGCTCTAGTGTTTGTGCAGCTGTGATGAATTGGATCAGGAAATTTTGGGGGCTTCACTAACTTTATCTTGGTCACATAAATTTTAGTCTGCATCAGTTGTTTAGTTTGCACCAACAACCCTGGCTTACAATTTAATTTGTAAGTTTAGTATATAAAACAACACCAGGAA